CTACTTGATGTTATTCAGATTGGTAAATAAAAGTACTTGATGTTATTCAGATTGGTAAATAAAAACTACTTGATGTTATTCAGATTGGTAAATAAAAACTACTTGATGTTATTCAGATTGGTAAATAAAAACTACTTGATGTTATTCAGATTGGTAAATAAAAACTACTTGATGTTATTCAGATTGGTAAATAAAACTACTTGATGCTATTCAGATTGGTAAATAAAACTACTTGATGCTATTCAGATTGGTAAATAAAACTACTTGATGTTATTCAGAGAGATATTATTGCTTGTTCGACACCTTTTTGGTGTTCACTGAAAATTTAGAGTTAATCGCATTCGATACGAGTGATCTATATTTATATGCTGAATAGTGGTAGAAGATGTGGGCCATACTTTCACGGGTGCCATATTTCGTGGACATAATTTTCCATTGCCAAAGCTTAATACAATATAAAAATGCAATGTCAGGAAATACTGCGTAATCATGGTCATCAGACTGACCACGATCGACAAAGAGGAAACAGTTTAGAGAACAGAATGTTGATCTCATAAGCTGCGGTTAACATCGGTATTACATTTTCACACATTTTCTAAAAACATTAGCGCGGCCCTGTGATAGAGCTCTTGATTTCGGAGACGACGAGCCACGTTCGAATTCTTGCAATACCACAAAATATTAACCAAATTTTGAGGTGTGGATGCGTTATAAGAGTTACAGTCAATCCTTTAGCGCGAGTGGTAGGGTATGGTGATGCTTATTAGCTCCCATTCCTGTGGTCAGTAGTTTAAAATTATGGTACAAACAGAATAACAATTGTAGCACAATAGTGAAAGTGTGACACGTTATTCATGAGCAATTTATCTTAAAAAAATAGAGATGCTTCTGCATCATTAAAATAACCACCAAATTGTTTCTTCTAATTTTAATAATATTCGAATTTTCTTAATACCTATTAAGTATATGTATACATATATTCATATATGTGTATGTTTGTGTGTGCAATCTAAAATAAGACTGGTAAATTTTAGCCTATCTGTCTGATGTAGAGATCATATAGTGGAAATCAACAGTAACATCCAAACTCAGCTGAATATGGCGGGATGATCTATTATCATCAGCCACCCTTCTCTCACCCATTGCTTCACCTCAGATAATAAGGCTAACACACTTCAAACTTTACAATGTCAAAAATAACCCTATTCAGTCTCTTAAGTTTTTTTACAACCATAGCATGATAATTGATTAAAAATGGCCAGAGCTTAAAATTTCCCAATGAACAAAAATGTTTACAAGAGATCAATAACGACTTCATTTTGTCTAATACTATACAGAACACAGAAACAGTTGATGTCGTTTCAAGCAATATTTCCTTTCAGTAATCCTATGATATGAGTTAATATCCGATGAAATACAGAAACAAGATATCCGGAGAATGCTAGCTATGACCAAGACTATAAGAAAGGTCAATACTGCGTGCGTACGTTTACCGGAAAATATGTCTTTACGTTACTGTGCATTACTTCATAACGATTTGAAATTCGTATTTAGCTGCTGGGTGTAACGCGTGCTTTCTATTGGATATAGCTGCAATCTTTCAATAGCGTTGTTACTAGACCATGTTGTTCACATAAATATAGGTAATTAATTCTGATATTCACGTCATGCACTTTGAAACGTTTCAGGCTATTTGTACTCTTCGTATGCGGTATACAGACATACATGTCACAAAAATAATCAAAATCACTTTGTAATAAAACATATCATATTACAATCTAACATCTTCTCAAATACGTTTCTTCTCTTATTTTTATTACATTACTTTGCCGCAACACTGTAAAGGTTCCATTATTTTAGTTGATGGCTCTTCTAGCTTCTTTCTAATTCCTCACTACACATGGGTTATTATTTTAGAAAAAAAATAAATAAAAATAAAGCATGAGGTTCTAAAAACTATAGCAAACATGTTGGCATGGTAACTGTTATATACATATAGCTCTTTAATGATGTACCGACCAGACAATATAATGGACTTCCATATCATATTGTAGAGAGAAATATTATTTAACTTTTATTAGCAAACGCAAAACAAAATCGCGCGCGACGATCGTAGTTCATGTAGTATAATTTTAATTTAGAAAAAGAAAAAAAACTGTCAAAATAATATTTAAAAGAATTAATATACCACACGTTAAACCATTATTTTCATGCCTACACTTTGTTAAGATTTAAATGTACGCCTTTCAACTCCCAGAACGTAAACTGTCGCTTTCTGTCATAGACCGTTTCTGACACGATTGCGCTAAACGTATACTTCTCTTTACCTTCAACTTTATTAAGGTCGTATTTATTTCTATCAGGAATTAATTCAGACTGATATATATATATATATATATAGCAAATTGTTGTTTATTACTACAATTAACAACACATATATTTTCTTCTAGGTTTTTGTTTCTTACTGGTAACACGCCCGGCATGGTCAGGTGGTTAGGGCATTCGACTCGCAATCTGAGGGTCGCAGGTTCGAATCTCCGTCCTACCAAACATGCTCGTCCTTTCAGCGTTATAACGTGACGGTCAATCCCACTATTCGTTGGTAAAAGAGTAGCCCAATAGTTGGCGGTGGGTGGTGATGGCTAGCTGCCTTCCCTGTATTCTTACACTGCTAAATTAGGGACGGCTAACACATATAGCCCTCGTGTAGCTTTGCACGAAATTCAAAACAAACAAACAAACTGGCAGCACATTACTTCTTCCTTCGCCTTTCTCTCGGTTTATTCGTTCTCTCTCGCATCTCTTGGTCTCTTTCCTTCCCTCTTCTGTTAAACGCCTGTTTTTTTTATACTCCTTTCTCAAAAATCACGCCAACAAGTCTCGTTTTTTCTGACCTTGTAAAGCTGTCACGATTATAACATTTCATAATCAATCATAGGAGGTCTTGTTGTCTCCATACTGTTGAACAAGAAAGGTGGCCGCTCCCTATAATCGTTTCCTAACGACTTTGAATGCTGTAATCCATTAGTGACTAGCCAAAATGTAGACGCTTTTTTTACCTCTCTTAACTTCAATCGACGATACTTACACCTGACTTCATAACACTATCCCACATCAAATAATGATAGTTTTAATGATACTTATCATTATTGTTTAAACAGTTTAAAATTAATGATAGGTCCTATTAAAACTGGCCGAGCGCCCCAGTAACGGACTCCAGACCTGAGATTCCGTAGTTCATGCCCCGTTACCCCCAAATAAAAAATCGCGCTACGTCGGTGCGTTATAAGAGTGACGACCAAATTACACTGTTCGGTTTAACAAGAGTAGCCCATGAGTTGGAGATGAATTGTGTTGACTTGAATAGTCACCTTTCTTCAGTCGATGGTTTCAAAATTAAGGACGGCTAACGCAGAGATACTCTAGAAGATCTGCGCGAAATTCATCAAAGAAACCTAATAAAACTCAATAAAGTCGTAAAAAATTGGAATTGATTTTATACATCAAAACAGGATACAGAAAATCACTTTCTTTTATCCTTCAAATGCAGTATTTAAATCACTGTTTTTTTTTTTTGTAATTGCAAACTGAATTGAGTATGAAAGCGATATTTATTTGAGCAAACAGTTTTTTATTTTTTTATTTTCCAAGTATGATGAATTCTCAAGAAAACAACTTCAAATAATACTAAGTTTTCAATGAATATTTCATGAATATATATTGAAAAGAGGTAGAAATTTTGGCATAGTGCTTGATAGGAAGATTTAAAGCATTAAATAGAACTTAAATCGAGTTTAGCACTTACTACTATTACTAACAAGTACCCAAAATTAGGCAGTTATACATGTTTATTACTCTATAGTTATAGAGTTATTATTATTTTAATTTTAGTTGAAGTTGACTGATATTAGATATTTTTTATTTTTATTTTTACAAGTAGTTGAAAAAGTTCGTCACAGAGACTTGTGTGCAATATAAATTTAGAACTCGGTGAAACAACAAAATAATAACAAAAATCTATATAAAATTATACATTATGTGTTATGGGCAAAA